GTTTAAGGAGTCTAAGGTTCAGGGTTTGGGGGTTTTGGGGGTTAGGGTTTAGGGGTTTAGGGGTTTAGGGGTTAGGGGTTTTGGGGTTTAGGGTTTAGGGTTTAGGGATTAGGGGTTAGGGGTTTAGGGGTTTAGGGTTTAGGGGTTTAGGGTTTAGGGGTTTAGGGTTTAGGGGTTTAGGGGTTTGGGGTTAGGGTTTTGGGGTTTAGGCTTTTAGGGGTTCAGGGTTAGGGTCGAGGGGAGAAGGGTTGAGGGTTTGCGGGTTTAGGGGTTTGAGGGTTTAGGGTTTAGGGGTTTAGGGTCCCACCCTGTAACAGTATGTGTTGGGGGTCCTATGGTTTTAATGCGGTGCCCCACCCTAGAAATACCAAGGATGTGACATGCCGGCCATCTGGGCAATGCACAAACGCAAGACCAGAAGATGGAGATTAACACAGACGACTTCATTTGGAAAACGACGTCTGAAGTCATCACCACAGCCGTTACGATAAGCGCTGCGTCGCTGTCTGAAATATGGCTATGTGTATGCTCCTCTTCCTACGACTGACATGCTTGCCGTTGGAACTTTTGCCGATTGATTATCTGGTTGCTCGTGTTGTATCAGCTCTCATTTTTGTCAGTAGCACACAAAAAGCCTTCAAATCAACCCGATATCATGACCGCAATAAGCCCTCCGGCACCAAAGCCCCACGTCGCTACGCAATGCCCCCCAGACCCCAAATCCCTAAACCCCGACGCCCACAAAAATCCATCATTGAAGCCCTTTCGGACTGAGGTGGCTTAATTTGGGTTTCCAGTAAGGGTTTCCGGAAACCCCAAAATTACCATGTCGCCTTCACAATCAGAATAGGGTTTTGGGGCATGTGATACTATAGTCATAAGAAGGACCCCGCCCAAAAAATAGTGTTGGTAATTATGAAGGCCCCTATATTAGCCTAAACCCTAAACCCTATACACCCAAGCCTGAGCCCTAGGTCTAACCCGAACCTCTAAACCCTAAGCCCCTAAAACCCTAAACCCTAAATTTCAAACCCGGAACCCCTAAATCCTCAAACCCTGAACCCCTAAACCCTCAAACCCTTAAACCCTCTAACCCCTAAACCCTCAAACCCCTAAACCCTCAAACCCTAAACCCCTCAACCCCTAAACCCTCAAACCCCTAAACCCTCAAACCCCTAAACCCCTAAACCCTCAACCCCTAAAGCCCTAAACCCCAAACCCCTAAACCCAAAACACCTAAACCCTGACCCCTAAACCCCTAAACCCTAAACCCTCAAACCCCTAAACCCCTAAACCAAACACAGACAAAAACATAAAGGGCCGGCCTTGCCCAAGCCGAAGCCCGCGGCGCCGCCGGCCGCCACGAGGCCCACGGCAGGGGCTAACCTAGGAGGCCCAGTAACCCCAGATGCTCCAATCCCCATCCAATACCCCTCAATTAAGGAATATACCTTAAATCTTATTAGGGATCCTACTACAATACTATAATTTCAGGTATATTCCTTAATAAAGGGGAATTGGAGTCTCTGGGTCCTAGGATTTAACAGGGCTCCGTCTTTGGATTTAAAAGGGCTGGGGTTTAGGGTTTCGGGTTTAGGATTCAGAATACCTTTACGCAGATGCCCAGTAACCTAGGATTAAAAAGGGGCTCCCTTTTTGGGTTTAGGGTTTAGGGTTTAGGGTTTAGGATTTAGGGTTTAGAGTTTAGAATACCTGTATAAGGAACCTAAGACGTCAAAAAAAGGGAACAAGGGCTACTAATGATATTAAAGTTTAAATATACATATGATAAAGAGGTTCAGGGTTCAGAGTACCCTTATAGGGAACCTGAGACTTCAAAACAGGGAAGAAGGGCCCACTATGAGACCCAGTAGCTGCCCAGCCGGCAAAGAGGCCAAGGTCATGGACATGGCGCCTGTGGAGAAAAGGGAGGGGGGGGGGGGGGGGGAGTTG